TCCGTTTTTCCCCCCCTTTTCCGGAAAATGACAAATTCCTGCGGATTGAAGAACAACTTTTTGCCACCTGGACCTTGTTTCCATTCTCAAGAGGGTCCTCGCTAACAGCAAACCCGCCGCCGCCGCCGACTCTGCCCCGTCCAACCCCGACAAAAGCGACGCCGATTCTTCCGGCAACGAACCCGCCGGTGAAGATGATAACGGGTCGAAACCGATTATTCTGGTTACTAACAGCGATGGGATTGAATCGCCGGGAATCTCGTTTTTGGTCGATGCTCTCGTTCGTGAAAGCCTCTACAATGTCCACGTCATCGTCCCTCAATCGTAATTATCCTCTCTTTTAGTTTTCTTTAATTAATTTTTTTTTCATGTTCATATGTGCCACTTATTCGCAGTGCTTTTCTCCCCTTTTCGATTTTATATGCATTTGCTCTGTTTCTGTAGCTGATATATAAATGTTTTTTTTTTTTTGCGTTTTTCCGAACCATTTTATGGATTTTGTTACCGATTATCGGCTTTTTGTTGTTTTGCTGATTCTGAGTGGGCCGTAAATTTCGCAGTGATAAATCGACATCGGGGCATTCGGTGTCTCTGAAGGAGACAGTCGAGGTAGCTTCGGTTGAAATTAACGGTGCCGTTGCTTATGAAATTTCCGGTATTACTATTCGTGTATATATGCTTTTGATTGTGTGTTATGTTAAATTTTATATTCGTTACGTCACTGTATGAAAACTTGAATCGAATGCTTTGCTATATCCGATTTTCAGGAACTCCGGTCGATTGCGTCTCGTTAGCGTTATCCGGTGCTCTGTTTTCATGGTCAAAGCCTCTATTGGTATGCTTTTTTTTTTCGTGCTCGTTCTCGATATTGCTTAGGTCTTTCGAAGATAATCATCCCGTTTATTTCTTTGATGGATATTTAGGTAATTAGTGGTATTAACAAGGGTTCGAGCTGTGGGCATCACATGTAAGTACTTGCTTATGTTCATGTTTAATCTTTTCTTGTTTTTTTGTTTGTTACAATTTGATTTAATAGAAGCATCGTACTTACAATAAATCTAGGTTTTATTCGAGTGTTGTTGCTGGAGCAAGAGAAGCACTAATTAACGGTGTGCCGTCGATATCAATTTCGTTAAACTGGTGTGTTATTTGTCTCTTAAAAAAGTACTTAAACAAATTCAATGTCTTAATTTTCGATTTGTTATAGGTTGCTAATTGCTATCTAATATCTATTGCAGGAAAACCGATGGAAGTGCGGAAAATGACTTCAAGGATGCTGTGACTGTGTGCTTACCGATAATACGTGCAGCCATAAGAGATATAGGGAGGGGGGTTTTTCCTAAAGGTTTTTCGTTGGACGTACAAATTCCGACATCGCCCTTGGCTAACAAGGTTTGCTTTAAAAAAAATTACTTTTATTTTTTATTATATGAATTCGTATCCTGTCATTGCGTTCGTTTTTTGATGCTTGAATTGCCGTAACCTCTTCCGATAGTCCAGCCTCTTCCGATTACACGACGAGTAGGGTAAAAAGTTCGGATCTTTGTAACTCGTGTGATTGCATAGTTATGGAAGTTGAAGATTTATTTTGGGTTTGAGTTATATTTTTGGTTTTTAAAGTAGCAATATAGGCAATTCGATATCCGTTGCTTAATTAATACGTATCTTCTGGAATATATTATTGACCGGGAATCCAGGCAACGAAGAGAAGCCTTTGGAGGTCAACGCTTTGCTGGCAAGCCATTTCGAGCACTAGGAATCAGTCTGCTTCTCGTTTCACCGGCTCTCAGCCAGGCCTCGGCATGCAGTTTGCAATGCTCGGCCGCGATGCCTCCGCTGCTGTGTGTACTCTTTTTTTTGTTATATATATATATATATATATATATATATATATATATATATATATAT